AAAAGATAGGAAAAAAAGCCGGCCATAAGAGTGAGATTGTCGGGGAGGGGGAGGGGGGAGGGGGGGAGGAGAGGAGGGGGTAGGATAGAGGGTGCGATGGTTGAGGGTGAGAGAAAGTGAAAAATGCAGAATGCATTTCAATGCAGGGGAAAACAGAGTCGGTCGGTGGCTGTTTGAGCTAAAATGCTCCATTGTAGGGCAAGGTGGAGGTGACGTAGAGGGATATTGGAGACACCACAGGCCGATGTGACAGGTGGTACAGGTGGGCGAATTGGAGCTTTTGAAAGTTTTTTGGGTCAATGGGTGAGGTAGGAGTTGTCAAAGGATGGAAGCGAGGCCTGGTGACTGCCTGGGGATGGGTGCTGCCCTCCTCGCAGCATACATGATGTGCGTCTGGGTATATTATTCTGTTTCCTGGCCATTACGTGTGACCCGAGTGAGGTCGAGCAGATGTACACATGGATGGATACTCCCCCCAGGCCGCCCCCCTGCACAGTGTCTCGGGCTGCGGGGGCAGTAGGCTGCAACCCCCTTCTTCTCTCTTACTGGAATTTGAATTCTGCTTACTGGGGAGGAGCAACCAGACTGTTGCCCCCCGGAATAGAAGGGGCCTTTGTTTGAGGGACAAAGAAGAACAATGTTGATGACCGAGTTGCGAAGTGTTTCACATAATCTTGTTTCTTCGTTTGATTGTTGAATTAGCAATATCCTATCTACTTTCGCAGGTTGCATGTATTTGAGAATGCTTTGTATCCACACAAAGCGAGACATCCTCACCGACATACAGGCAGTCGATCTGAATGTCTGAATCCATATGGTGCCTGGGGCCATGGTAATCATAGTTCTATCTAAAGACGTTGTGGTACGAACAGCTGGGCAGCGGAGCTCGAGTTTCTCACAGAGTTGCGGCGCTGGGCAACCTAGTCCACACGGAGTCGCCCAACTGCCAAGAGCTGGCCAGCCGAGCTAGAGTGGGCAAGACCCCACCCACGGGGGAAAACCGAGCAGGTAAGAAATGGGGCAAGATCATGAGCAGTCAGAACCCGGCCTTGTCTTTGAGTGGTTGATGGTTAACTTGGAGGGTTTGGGTGGTATAAATGGCGTTTGAAGTGATTGAAAAGGGTTTAGAAGAGGTGTTCCTGAGTTTAACCTTCTAGATTCCTGTACTGTTTTTTTTCTTTCTCTTGCTTTGTATTCGTATTCCCTCAGGGGCTGCCCAAGCCCTTGCCGACACCTAAGCTGGGCAAGACCGGCTGGTGCGGTGCAGAGCAGCAAGAACATGTCAGAAAAATAAATGATGGACAAGTGCTGTGCACCAACGAGCCTAAGCTCAGTTGGTACACCAATGAACTGTTGAAATACAGCCCTGAGTTCAAACCCAGATGGAACTGGATGATTGAAACTAGATGATTCTGAATTACCTGGGGCCGGTCAGTTCGATGATGATATCTCAAATGCTGTGCGGCTGACTGCCTAGCTCCCAGCATATATTCTTCATGGCCAGAAATGCTGGACAAAGGTAGAGAGACGTTGGCAGTCGATGGTTCTCCTATACCCAGCGTATATTCTTCATGGCCAAAGTGATGGACAAATGTCGAGAGACATTGGCAGTCGATGGTTCTCCGATGATTCAATGGCAAGTTCATTCCACCGGCAAGTCAAGACAGTGCGTTGCTCTCCGGAGTGGGTCTAACAAGAAGCCGGTGGAATAGGAACCGGAGTGGGTCTTCTCTTACGGGTCCAATTGTATGCCTGCCTTTTTGGAAGATAGTGGAATTGGCCTTTCAGGGTGTGTGTCTGTTCATTGTGGTTGTGGTCGTATATTTGCTCACATCCAATGCCTAGTGACAGTGGTTTGCTGCATGCAGCATTTGCTTTTGGTGTTTAGAGAATTAGAGATCTTGTTGTGACCGCGATAGTCCGCAATACAGGCGATCCTAAGTGTAACGAAGTTGCCTCTACCAAGAAAATTTGGGAACGCCTTCAACTTTTTGGTCCGTGTGCTGGCACGAAGTGTGGCGTCAGAGTTTCCATAGTACATGAAAATGGAAGGAGAATAATTGCGTAGAAGGTTTCTTTTTTTTTATTCAGTAACTGGAGGCTTCGGCCGCTCGCCCTAGCCAACGACCACCGAGCTGTTTGGGATCCTCAGACACTTTACGCGAGAATTGTCTCAATTGAACAACCCTGCGTCCGGGGGGAATATGTGTGGATGAGCGCATTGCCGTTATCCGATTGCAATTTGATGAAGAGAAAACTGAGATAAATAAAATGCGCGTATCAAAATTTAAAACTTGTCGAGAAATCTTGAAAAATGTCTGGCAAACAAAAAAATTTACTCAAAAGTAAATAAATAAATAATTCGATGGCGAAAAAAAAATCAAACAAGGCTGGTGAATTTCGACTGGAACTTCCAGAAATCCGGTCGTGGAGAGGCCGCGCCCTCTGCCATCGATTCGTGATTGCCACCCTTCAGTCCCTTTCTTATTCGCCTCGTGGACCATTGTCCATGGTTCTCTTGGGTAAGCCCCCCTATAATTATCCATGGAACTGTGCCACCAGCCACTTGTAGTGTGTTACTAACTATAGTGTGAATCTCCCTGCGCAGCCTGAACGTAAAGTTTTGTCCGCGTGTTTGTCCATATGGACCATCGTGAACATGTAGCCTTTACAAGCAGGCTCTATGACAATAGCCCCGCTGAAGTTTTGCTTTGGTCGAATTCCTCCACAGATGATGTCCAGATGCACTGGTGGCGAGAGACAGGCTTATCGGTCACAGCCCCTTGTTGGTTGTCCTCTTCTCGCTCTCTGCCTATGGTTTACTGGGCAGTACTGCTTGACGATGTATATGTGTTGGGAGCAGGGGGCAAACTTTTGGGGATTAAATTCCAAAAGTGCCTCGGTCAGAGTATACCTGGGCAATCTTTTCCTTTCCCCACCTTGTAAGAGGCATGCATACCATACTTGCGGCGCACCAATACGCAGAGCGGGGCGGGGCGGGGCGCAGTGTGCTGTGCGCTGGACTTCCAGCGCGCGCA